CATTTTAATACAACTATCATGATTGCTCATTTCAAGGAAAATATTTTTCCAAGCATGAGATCAAAGAGTTAAAAAAAAAACACTTTGGGTCCCAAGCACAAGGAACCTTTGAACAAGTGAATCGGGGATTGTTTATGTATCTAGAAATGCTGTGACAAAGAAAGTTCTTTTCATGGGGCTTAGTCACAATAGCGTAAATCAAACATTAATCAGAAGTGGACAGCAACTACTCTATATTTTTCAAGGGACTTTTTACCGAGACTGAATTTTAGGTGGACCCAATGTGATTCTTGTTTTTAGTAGCATGAAGGCAGCCAGACAGAAGGCGCCGCTGTATCTTTGTCCTAAAGCATAAACCATGTTAAATATAAAAGGATAACTGAAATGATATGAAGCAGCTGATCCAACCCCTTGCAGGAGACACCTAGTACCTCACAAGTTTGATTGGCTCTTTAGATTCTTGTGCAAAGTAACAATTGGGTTTTAAAAAATCTGTATAAATGTATAGTTGTTTGAGACATGTCTACAAAGCATGTCAGATGCAAAATTGCTGTATTTCTGTTCTTCCATTTCAGTGTCCCCTCTAGTATAGAAACACTGAATGTAAGCCAGGGGTGGGATTCTACCGGTTCGGCCTGGTTCTATAGAACCGGTAGTTCTGAAGAGCAGCTGACACCAAATCGGTTCTCTCCAAAGATCTTCTTTTCTTTGGTTGGGCCCACCCACCCACATGGGCTCTAGGCTGTCCTTTATTCTTACCTTAGTTGCTTTGCACGTCACAGCTGAATGCCGCACATCAGCAGGAGATGGTGATTGCTTGCAGGAGAAGTTGTTTTGCAAGTACTGCACACACGCGCACAGCTCACCAATCCAATTGTTATGCCGGTAGGATCCCACCCCTATAAGGGATAAGCTGTATGGTTTGTGGGCTATATTGTAGGCATGTGGGTCTAATGTGGTGTTTCTTAACCTGAGGAATTTTAAGGTATGTGGACTTCAACTCCCAGAATTCCTCAGCCAGCATGCTGGGTGGGAATTTCTGGGAATTGAAGTTTATACATCTTAAAGTGGGTGTCATGCCTCTGGTGGAAACTGACTCTGAGGGAGAGGAGGAACAGCCGACAGGGAGTGGAAGTGTGGCTCCAGAGGTTGTGGAGGAGGCTGGGGAAGTCCAGCTGGGAAGTCAGAGGAGGATCCAGGCCCATCCCCTCTCCATCCTAGGGCATGCAGGGAGGAGAGGATAAGGGAGAGACATGGTCTACTGGGGAGGAGAGGGCCTTGATCCTCTTCATGGACTGTAGCTGTGACAACTGGATAAGAGGACAGACATGAGTATGGGCGAGTGCTGGAAACAAAGCGTGGAAATATCTCTATTGTTCCTCTCTGAGTTTGGCATCCTTCCCAGTGTGTGTTCTGATATCTTCAAGCCCTTATCTTGCCTGGTTTGTGTTGTTTTTTACTCTTTATAATTTAAATGGCATTTCCTCTTTCTTGTGACTGCTTGTGTGGGAGTTTTTTGTCTGCAGTCAAGGATATTTGGACCTTGGAAGCAAAGTGAAGGAATAAAAGGGGCTTCACCTGTTTTTTGTGATTGTGTTTATTTTGTTTCCCACCCTGGGTCATCACAGTGGGTCAGGCTGAGAAACATTGGTTACCCACCCCAGAATCCCACTTAACCCAACACACACTAGTGAGATTGCTGTATCTCACTCTGTTTTTGGACACATTTCCCAAAATAGAAAAACAAAGAGCCTGTTACTTATTACTTATTTAAAAATATTATTTTTTAAAGAATATAAATTTTCTCAAAAAACAATAACATATTTTATAAAAGTTAAAGAGCCTAGTAAGCACATCTCTACTGTTTATACCCCAACCTCAAAAAGGCCACATTCAGAATAAAATGGTTTCTGGAAACTGGGGAATGGAACTAGTGGTGGAGCTGCTGCCAGTTCTGACTGGTTCTAGCCAACCAGTAGTTCTGACCATCAGCTGGCCCTGCCCACCTGCCCCCACCCTATCCTGTCCTATATTTCCTTCATCTGTGTGTGTCACAGGGCACAGCTGATTTCCGTGCCTCAGCTGTTCTACTTACCAGGTCTGCCCTAGAAGATAAGCAGCTGAGCTTTCAATTGCTGTATTTTGAATACTGCGTGCACTCACAGAGCCAATTGTTAAACCGGTTGCAGCCCACCACTGAATGTAACACTTTGCAACATATAAATGCTTTAAAAAAGACGTTGGCCAGAAATAGGCCAGATCAGGGGTGAGAAACTATGGCTCCTTTATGACCTGTGGACTTCTACTCCCAGAATTCCTGAACCAGCCATTCAGGAATTCTGGGAGTTAAAGTCCCCAAGTCGTAAAGGGGCCATAGTTCCCCCTGCCTCTGGGCCAGCATAAAGGGAGAAACATAGATTATTAAGTCTAAAATAAGAAGGGGTGGTATATGCTAGTAATTCAGGCAGAAACCTCCCTAACTCAGACCAGTATAAGGGTTTCTAGGGAGGGAAGAAAAGATTTGCAAGATTTTGTTACTATAATAAAAATAGTTTGCGCTTCCTTGTAGAGTTGGTTTCTTGGTTTGGTCAACATCAGGGATGTCAAGTTGGCGGCCTGTGGGCTGGATGTGCGTCATGCACAGATCACGCCCATCCCAGCTCCACGAAGGGGGGAAATGTCATGAAATGTCACATGATGGCAACATGATGTCACTAGTTTGACACCCGTGATCTACATGATGGTACTGACAAATTCTTTCTTTCTTTTTTTACTTTTCCCTGAACTTTCATTGTGCATGTATTTGCATTTTTTCAAAGTAGATACATATTTTACTTTTTGTTTTCATCTTGGTTTGTTTTTTTTTGCCTGTAATCCAATGCCTGATCTCTCTCCCTCTCTCTTACACACACACACACACACAAATCTTCCATTGTCTTGGATGCCAGAATCTTCTTGTTTTTGGCATGTTGTATAGATGCTTCCTTTGCCTAACCTGGTGTTTCATTGGGGGAAGGAATTCCTGACAGATTTTAGAAATAAAAGCTGGAATGAATGAAATTAAATATGTATATAGAAAATACAGCTGTCCCAGCTCATCATTGTTAAGGACAACATAATACAGTAAAAGGGCCTTTAATATTCTTGCTTTCCTTCACCCACAACCTGGGCTTTGTTGGCATCTTGGCATCTTTTTAGATGGAATAAGGAAAGGGCAACCCCTTAGATACAGTTCCCAGCAGCCTCCCAATCAGAAATGAAAAGCATAGGGTACTGGGAATTGTAGTTCAGCAATCTTGGGAGAGGCCCCAGGGCAAAGGTATAAGGAGAAGTTTGTCATTTTCATTGGTCTCTCAGTCTCAGCTGTTTGGAGAACCATACAGTTGAGAGACCGAAAAGCTTTAACATTTAAATAAGCATTAAATAAAGAGTAAATAATCCATCAATCAGTTGTATATTTGTGTCTGTGTGTTTTCTTGTCTTAGTGACAATGGTGTTCTGACTATATTGATGTCTTAGTTTTGAAAATAATGTGATAAAACTGTTCCCTTTTAGCTCCTCTTTATTTTCTTTAAGCTTCACTGACTAAAGAAATGGTAAGTTTACTTTTCATGGGGCTTACTTGTATTATCTTCTGTTGGCGCATGCTTTTATTTCAGGTTGGCTGATCAAAGAGGCCGGGCCTTTCTTTTCGCTGGATTTTTAGTAACAGAAACTAAATAGCCATCTCTCCAGAGTGCTTTCATTTGGATTCTTGCATTGAGGCAGGGATGGGGCTAAATGGCCTAAACAAGCCATACTAAGGCGGGACATAAAAATATATTAATTTTAGAGAAATAATGATACAAGTTTTATAAATAGTAAAATATGTGGTATTAGCAAGAAAGAACAAGGAAGTGTGAAAAGTCAAACCACAAGGATCATCTATCGGTCACATTTGCCAACAAACCTAGTCTCGCTTGTAACAAAACCACAAGCTAGGGAGTTTAGTAAGATGGGTTTATGACATCCAGCCATCCTAGCCTAGCAACAGGGGAGGGAGAAAGCTGTGTTTCAAGTAACCAATGAATGACTGACAAGTTATATTTCTGTGTTTTGCCCCTTCTGAAGAAGTATATAGGCATGTGCTGTTCTATAAGAAATTTGTTCAGAAGTGACTCTCACTAAAATACTCTGAACCTGCTTGCGCAAATAAGGCCAACTTATTTTTGGATGCCACGGTCTGAGTCTCGTAATTTCCTGCAACACTACCAATCTCTTAAGATTCAGTGATTCCTAAATTCAAGACAGACTTAGAAACAAAGCTCAGGAAACTTCCTGAAATGTTCAACTGTTGTATTAAAAGAACAGATTATTTATCATTGCATGTTGATTGGCGTGCCCTTGGAAGGTGTTTTTTTTTTTTTTTTACAATTGTATTAATTTAGTTTCAATCCTAAAAAAAATCATATCTTTAATTTAGTAAATTAGCATTGCAGGGCAATGCTTATTTTAAAAATAAAGCATGCTGAGTTTAGCAAGATTTCAAAATCACAAGAAACCTCCCTAGGGATACTTACTACTCAGTTCTGAAGTTCTGTCAGATACTGCTTTCCTCTCTGGTACGTGACTGCATTTTGGGTGCTTGGCAACTGGCTCGCATTTATAGCCATTTCAAGCATCCCACAGTCACATGGCTGCATTTTAGGATATTTTTTACAGAAAGCTAAAACTAAAATTTACCTTTGGTTTTGGATAAAATCTGTCCAGAGGGAAACATTGGTTTGGTTGACAGCTGCAGTATCTGCTTAATCACTGCCACAAAAAAGTGGTAAAAATCAGGTTGATCATGTGGCTTTGTAATTATAACAACTTATAACTGTGATTGGCAGGCCCCATTACTGTCATAAGTTGAGGAGTCCCTGTACAGTACAACTTTATTCTCCAATGTCTGATTATGGGTTTAGCTTTATCTATAAAATTCTATGTGTGTTTTTGATAACAAAATAAAATAACCTTGCTATGTGGAACCCAGTGAATCTTTGAACAAAAGAACAACACAAAAAGTTTTCTTTCTGACTCTTACCTTCCGTATCTTCAACAAACTTAAAAATATTTAGTCATTCTAATTCACTGATGAAGAGCACATATTCAGTCACCATTTTTTTCAATTATCATATCACATTTCAGATCAGTCGTGTGAGCTGAAAAAAAATAAATGCGGCTGTGTTAATGAGCTGCCCACAGGTGTCATGTTTTTACTCCTGCATGGTTCAAAGAGCTTTTTGACATTGCTTCCAAGGCATTGCATAGCCCTATTTATCAGTCCTATAATAAAATAAAATACCTTTTCTTTCTTCTATCTATCTGTCTATCATTTATCTATAATTGGGTGATAACATGTCCTATTCTCCCCCTCCTCTCTCTCACACACATCTATCTATATCTATCTATCTATCTATCTATCTATCTATCTATCTATCTATCTATCTATCATCTATCTATCTATCTATCTATCTATCTATCTATCTATCTATCTATCTATCTATCTATCTATCATTTGGCCAAGACTTTGTTCCAGGGACATCTGTAGCGAGCCATGTATTTATCAAAGGGATAAAAGCTTGGGTTGGGATGCCATAGGGCAAGCTTTGCCCTGTGTTAACTTACCTGCAAATGGCTCCATCATAAATACAGGTGTAGAGTTTGCATGGTGACATTAAAATAGGTATGTCTAAGGTGATTAGGAGGGTACTTGCATGCCTTCCAACAAAGAGTCCTGGAGTAACTTTAGAATTGAAAAACAATCACAACACCAGTCCTAGCCTAGCTTTTGCTTGTGCAGTACTTTAGAAGGTTCAGCAGTGCATTTGATCATAGGCAAGTTCCTCATAGGAGTTGGGATGCCTAATTTCTGCCCACAGGCTCACAGCTTCTCTAATGAATGCTATATCTCTGTCCATTTTCATTGACGTAGAAAGAGTCTTCTCTTTGGACCATCTATTTTCTTTAAAATAAGGCCCAACGTGGGAGGGAAATTCAAGGAGACACATCTGCAGGAAGTATGAATCAGGGAAGACACTTAACATTTGGCACACTTCTCGGAAAGGATGGCTATAGAGGGTGTGCAAGTGCATTTATTTTCAATGAAGAGCTACTTATCCGTTCGGCAGAGACTGCACTTCCTGCCCTGTTTCAAGATGTTTGGAAGGGCCCCAGGAAGATAACTAGCTTGCCTGCCATCTTTTGATTTCCATCAGTTTGTCAGAGGCATTTTGTAACCATGGCTAGCTTCATTGAGCTAGAACTACATTAATAACACACCTGCCAGGGAGGAATTAGAACAGGGGTGTCAAAATTGCAATGACACGTCATCACAACTGTTAAGTATGGAGAATAACGGAGACCAGACATCTGACCAGTGACTTCAACTCTTTAATAAAGTGATAGACATAACAGAGCAATGCTATGGGCAGCAGTAACCCTTTTATAGGGTTAGCTGCTGCCTTATTAACCAATGAAAATGTGCAACAAGTTCAAACTACTGACCAATAAGGACAGTCCCAAAAATGGCCAATCAGGGACTGGTTCTGGCCCAATCCCAAGTTGTTGTATAAGGACCAATAAAGTGTGCAGGTTTTCAACCCCTAATTTGCATTTAGGTTATTCACTTTTATTGATTCACAACACCCCTCCCCCTTGGGTTCCGTTTGAGGGGAGCTGTGATAACATCCTCAAGATAGGCAGGCCGTTTGGTCTGCCTGGATGATTTCCGAGGCTCCACCGGGTTTTGTCTAATGTCCGGTTCCGGTGGAGCGTTTGGATGACCTTTGTTAAATTCTATTTCGCTGCACGGCGATTCCGTGCTGCATTCACTGTGGTTGTCTCTGCTACTGCGTGTTTCTTCGGGGTTTTGCAGTTCGTTTTCCCCCGTATTAAAGTTCCCTGAAGACGTCAACTCCCTCCCCGCTTCACGTTCCGGTGCTTCGTTGGGCTGTAGGGCTCCCGTTGACCTGCTATTAGTTGTATCAAAGTCAATTCCCTCGATACTCCCTCCCCCTTGAGTTGGTGAACCGGGGAAGTCATGGCCGCTGGGTGGTAATCTCGATCGGAGCTGGTCTATGTGGCGTTTTCACACCCTCCCATCGTCTGTTAGCAGGCGGTAAGATCTAGGCCCGGTGAGGTGGGTAACGGTTGCGGGTATCCATAACGGGTCGCCGGAAAAGTTTTTTGCAAAGATTAAATCGCCTACCTTAAATTCCCGGCATTTGCTGCTGGAGCCGAAAGGTTTTTCCGGTGCGAAAGCGGGGTGGAGCCGGTCAAGGTGCGATCGTATTTTCCGCCCCATAAGAAGTTCAGCGGGTGTTTTGTTGGTCACGCTGTGGGGCGTGATGTGCTGCAATAAGAGAATTCGATTGATTTTCTCGTCGATGTTGCCAAATTCCATTTTGTGCAGGGTCTTTTTCACAAATTGTACCATGCGTTCTGCACGTCCATTCGCCGCAGGGTGCGCGGGCGAAGTTAGCGCATGGCGGATGCCCCGATCAGCAAGATATTGTTCAAAGGGCAATGCAGTGAACTGTGGGCCGTTGTCCGAGACCAACACGTCCGGAAACCCGTGTGTGGCAAATAGTCTGTTTAATTTATTAATAACTGAGTCAGTTGTAGTTGTGTGCATTCGATGAATCTCGAGCCAGTTAGAATAGGCGTCGACAGTAATCAGGAAAGTGTGACCTTTGGTAGGCCCCGCAAAGTCAATATGAATACGGGACCACGGTCCCCTCGGCGTTTCCCATTCGGTTGGGCTTGCTTTAGGTGGGGCGTTGCTGACGTCCTGGCAACGTTGGCACGTAGCGACCCAGGCCTTGATTCTTTTGTCGATTCCCGGCCACCAAGCATAGCTGCGTGCAAGTGATTTCATCCACACAATGCCCGGATGTCCCTCATGCAATACCGCTAACACAGTCTGTTGCAATTTGCCAGGGATTACGACTCGATCGCCCCACAAGATACAGCCTTTTTGGGAAAACAGCTCGGTTTGGCGGGCTTTGAAGGGCGCCCATTCAGGTGCAATTTGGTCCGTCGGCCACCCCCGTTCAACCCAGCGTAGTATGTGTTGCAGAACTGGGTCACGTTTCGTTTCAAAAGCAATGTCTCTAGCCGTCAAGGGTGGTGCCTGTAGAGCTTCAATCTGTAATGTTGAGAGGGTTGGGGCTGGATCCACAACAGCGTCTGGGAGCGGTGTTCTGCTCAATGCATCGGCGTGGAGAATCGATTTCCCCGGGCGGTGTTGCAAGGTGTAGTTGTAGGCCGCCAGGAATTCAGACCAACGGGTCATTCTGGGGGACAATATATACGGGGTTGGTTTATTACCCGCAATGATCCCCAGTAGCGGTTTATGATCAGTGATTATTGTAAACACACGGCCATAAACATATTCGTGAAATCTTTTAACTGCAGCAACAATAGCTAAAGCTTCTTTGTCCAGCTGACTATAATTTCGTTCAGCTTTAGCTAAGGTTCACGAAAAAAACGCGATGGGGGCCTCCGCTCCGTTTGGTAACATGTGGGCCAGAATTGCCCCAACCCCAAAAGGTGATGCATCACACGTGATAGTGAGTGGCAGAGTCTCGTTGTACTGCATAAGTACTGAATCAGAAGTTAGCAATTTCTTTACTTGTTGGAAAGCATGTTGTTCCCGTTGTCCCCAAACCCACGTTGCTTTTTTGTCTAATAGTCTATGCAATGGTTCAGCTACTGTTGCTTTGTGGGGTAAAAACACATTATAGAAATTGATAAGTCCAAGGAACGCCTGTAGGTCTGCCTTGTTCCTTGGAGTGGGTGCCTTTTTAATTGCTCGTAATTTGTCTTCGGTGGGATGAATTCCTTGGCTGTCCAGGAGGTATCCCAAAAATTCTACTTTTTCGGTACATAATTGGCATTTATCTTTTTTTACTCTGAGGCCTGCATTTTGGAATCTTCGTAAAACCTCTCTGAGTCGTTTTTCTAGGATGTCTTTGTTAGGTGCGGCGATGAGTACATCGTCGAAATATGGGACAACGCCTTTTATCCCTTGTAACAACCTTTCCATTAAACTCTGGAAGATTCCAGGGGCGACGCTTACCCCGAATTGGAGCCGGTTGCATTTAAATGCGCCCCTATGTGTTACGATCGTTTGCGCCTCGGCTGTGGTTGGGTCTACAGGCAATTGTTGATACGCCTGGGCTAGATTTAGTTTGGCGAAAACTTTCCCGCCGCCCAGGGAATGGAGTAAATGTTGTACTACCGGTACTGGATAAGCACTTTGCTGCAGTGCGTGGTTTAATGTGGCCCGGTAGTCTCCACAAATTCTTAGGGACCCATCAGGCTTGATAGGCGTCACTATCGGGGTTTCCCAACGGGCGTGGTCGGTGGGTTCCAGTACGCCCTGCGCTATCAGCTTATCGAGTTGTTCGTCGATTTTAGGCTTTAAGGCGAACGGCACCCGACGCGGCTTAAGGCGGATGGGTGCTATTTCAGGGTTCAAGTTAAACGAGATTGGGGTCTCCTTATACTTGCCTAGTCCGTTCACGAAAACGTCTTGGAATTCTTGCACGAGTGCTTCTTCCCAATCGACGCTTTCGGCCTTGTGGACTCCGGCTACAGTGATTCCGAGCGGCCTGAACCATTGAAGGCCTAGAAGACTAGGCCTATCTCGATCCACGACAGTCAGTGGTAGTGCGACGGTGCGGTCCTTGAATGAGACCTGGAATCTGCGGGACCCGACAACGGGGATTCGGTTGCCCTGATAGTCTTTGAGTATAACCCTTTGAGGGTTAAGGTCTTGGCGGCGAATCGTTGGAATAAGCTGTTGGAGCGTTTTCCATGACACCATCGAGAGGGAAGATCCTGAGTCTACCTCCATCACGCAAGGTTTGTTTTCAATGGCGACTTTTACTCGGATTTTCCCGGCATCAAGGGATGTAGCGTGGCCTATGGTGATTGTTTGGTGGGTCTCTTCCTGCCTGGTTTCTTCACGCCTGGTGGAAGTGGTG